AAAAAAAAGTACGACTTGGATAAGGACTTCCTTGAAAATACATTTCCAAAAATCCTCGATTTATTGTCAGTGTGAAATATTTTGAATAACTTTTGGTCAGGATTTTTAGAAGGATGTCTCTGAAAAAGTTATATGCACAACTACTGGTTAGAAGGTCTTTAAAAATAATCCTTAAAAACCCATGATTATACCCTACAACACTATGTGTTGGGGGTATTATAAGTTTGATTGGGCCAAAAATTATGTAACACCACGAAATATTGATTTCCCACATAGGATAGTATATATGGATCTTCCTAGCTCGCCGAGCTGAGTCGATCTAGCTATGTATGTCCGTCTGTCCGTCTGTCCATGTTAATTTGTAATCACTCTACAGGTCGCAATTATGGCCCGATCTTCACGAAATTTAGAATGGAGGTGGGGCTAGGGTCAGAATAGAACCCTATTTCTTTTGGAGATGATCGCCAAATGTTTAGGGGTTGAAATGGACCAAATACAGAAAAAATTTCGGATTTTGCAGTAGCTATACAGGTCGCAATTATAGACCAATCGAATTTCGCATGTAGCTAGAGTTTAGGGCGGGGAAGAAGCCTACCAAATTGGGTGGTCATCGGATAATATTTAGCGGGTAAAATAGGCCATATATTTTTTGTTGAAAAAATTCAAATTTTTTCATAAAACCGCGAATATTTTAAATCCCGGCGAAATCACAAAGCCATGACAAGGTTACTTCTGATCTTTATATTGATGTTAAGATCCAAAAAATCGAATATATAGCAAATATATGCGATATATATGTCTATCAAACAAGATATGCTTGAAAGATCTCATATATATCGAGAACGGCTGAACTGATTTCAACAGTTCTCATTAATTCAGAATGGCCTCTTGGCAGAAAAGAAAAAACGCCTAAAAAATCGCATAAAAATATCGATCTAAAGATGAAAATATTGATTTTGTAAATATCCTCATATTTTTTCAATTTTGTCATATTTTTGGCATATTTTCATTTTGAATTAAACATTTGGTAATATTTCTACAGCTAACAAAACTAAGTAGTTAGGATATCAGGATATCATATACAGATCGTAATTATGGCCCGATCCTTACGAAATTTCGCATGGGGATAAGATGAGGGTCAGAATAGAAGCCTACTCTTTTTGGGGATGATCGCCATATATTTAGGGGTTGAAATGGACCAAAAAAGTGCACAATTGTCAGCAGGTCGTAATTATCGCCCGATCTTCACGCACATTTGAATGGGGGGTTACCGGACATTGCAAAAGCCAAGCAGTTTTGGATGGCCATCCAAAATACGAAAATGTCCATCCATTCCAGTGACTTTTTGGAGAATTCACAAATACAGGAAAGACGCACTTCTGTCTACTTCGTTGACGCTGATTTCGTTGAAGAATATAATCAAATGTCTGTATCTCATATAGATGCGTTTCAGTCAAAAACCAATAATAAATGTTAATCTTTTGCCACTTCTGAGAGATTATAGGTCTTTGGGAAATATTGGTTCCAGATCTAGGAAGACCATTTACGTGCAACATCTACCAATAAATTGGAAATGAGCAAATTAGTTTGAGTTGCTATTATTCGAAAATTAGAGAACGAAACCTAATTGTTTTCTTTTATTATTTGTCACAATATTTTGTGGAATTCTTTCGAGTGTCTCGCCTATATAAACTATATCGTTTATTATTGTGTTGTAGGGTATTTAACGGTGGGCCCCGCTCGACTGTAGCCTTTGCTTACTTGTTTTTAAATGTGCTCATAAAAAATCCTCCAGTTTCGTCAGGAGAAAAATTCACAATTTTTTGAAACTTTTATTTGAAACTTTATATAAAAATACAATTTTGATCAGTAGTGGAATTCTCTAACACCTTTTTTGAGTTACCCACAAAATCACGATTTTTAGTCAGAAATTTCTTCAAAAAATATCTTAAAAAATTCAACATTTTTCCAAAATTTGTTATATTTGTTCCCCACAGCTGAAAATATCAAATACAGCTCAGAAATACCTTTGCCAAATTTTATAGAGATCGGTTCAGATTTTGATATAGCTCCCATATATATCTTCCTCCGATTTGTCTTTTATTGTGCACCAAATAGGATGGAATTTGGCACTTACTAACAAATTAAGTCTAGAAACAAGTATGTCGAATTTGGTGAAATCGATCGGTTCAGATATAGCTATAGCTCTCATATATAACGTTCATCCGATTTGTTATTTTTGTCCTCCGTAGCTGTAATATGCACTCTGTAACAACGATATTTGGGGAACTATATGAAATACAGATCAGAAATACCTTTGCCCAATTTTATTGAGATCGATTCAGATTTGGCAACCCTGTGAAAACCACTTTTGAAACCAAAATTTTGGAATTTTTAAATTTTTAAATTTTTATTAATGTTTTGTTTCTGTAATGGTGGTTTTTATATCAACATACCTTTGTCATGAGCTGTTCTTCAAGATAGTATAGCCACAAAGAAAGAATGCATTTTGCCTAGTCTTTACCATTTTATGTCTTTGGTTACAATTGGTGTAGGGTATCATAAAGTCGGCCCTGCCCGACTGTTAGACTCTTTTTACTGTTTTTTTTTTGATTTTTGACTTTTGTGAGAGAATTGCCAGAAACAGCCATGTATAACTTGAGACCATATCAGTTACTTGCAAACCTTTGTAATTGCTTTTTCGATTTTGAAAATCTCTAGCAATGTTACTGATAGGAGCACCTTTGCTTTTCATAATATTCCGAGCTAGTGACGCATGTTTCCACCAGAACCCTAAAACTTGTATATTAAACCACTTTAACGCGGTTAAAGGTTTTTTTACTATATATATTTATTAACAATTCGAATTTTTTTTATTAACTATAAAATTTTCAGAGACAAGATGTTTTTTTTAATTAATAATTTGTATTCTAATTCTCTTCATAGAACCCCTAAAACATACGCTTGTAATTACGGTTAACAATTTTCCAAAATCATGTGGTACAAATTGTCTCCTTCATGGCATTTTTGGACAGACCGCTCTGTTTGTAATTCCACATGTTTGAGTGTTTTTCGAAATAATCTCTTTTTGATACAAATACTTAATTAGATGTCATTTGAATTTAATAAAGGTGACATGTCATTAACATGCATTCATATTTACATACATACCTACATACATTTATATTTACATATGTCCGTTCTCCTTGCTTTTTAGAATTTCACAATTGTCCTTTCGCAAATAATTAGCTTTTGCAAATGCGCCATTTTGTCGTGGTGGTGGTGGTCATAACTGTAGTTATAATTTTCAATTTGCCAGGATATTCCTTGAGCTCTCTCTCGACGATGCAACAGGACGACGAACAGGCGCTCTCACCAAGCACACATTCGCTATTCAAACTTCATTACTGATTATGTTAAATAGAAACTGTAAAACACATATCCGCCGGTGAATGGGAACACGAAAAGACTCTTAAATTTTTGGCCAAAGAACGAAGTAAAGTTCCTGGGAAAATGGGACAAGAAAAGCACAGCACAACACGACACCACCACCACCGTCGTTGTTGTCGTCGTCGTCGTTGCCGCCGTCACTCCGTCATTTTGTTTTAATTAAAATTATAATTTCACGGCAAAATATGTTTTTGTTGTTTTGTACTGTTGGTTTCATTCACCTGGAGCAGAGGCGTCGTCCTCGTCGCCGAGACCGTGTCATGGAGTGCAACGTGCTACAGCCAGGTATCCAACTAGTCATCAGCCAGGCATCCAGGGCGCTCGCCCGCCATCCAGCTAGATATCCAGTCAACAGCTTCATTGGAACACGAAAATACCCGGAATCTAAAATGAAGTACTTTGATGGTACATGAATGGAACATGGATATGCATGCAGCCATGCCGTGCAAGGATGCCATCGCCATCAACGGTGCCAGCCAGCCAGCCAGGCAGCGAGCGAGCCAGCATGTTTTTGTAAGGCGAAATAACGAGCATAATGTTGAAACTTTTACCACTACAACCAAGGCCGCCACAATAGAGTTTGTTCAGGTGGATGGATGTTCAGGTGCAGGTGTTGGTGTTGGTATATGTGCCTGTGTGTGTATGTGTTGGTGTGGCCGTACAATGATGCTGTGATGCAATATTAAACCGTAAGGGCAATATCATATTCATGACACCGAGAAAAAGGGGTTTTGGGTATAGAGATCTAGTGTTGCAACAACAGGAACAGCAACAGAAACCAAACAAAAATAAAACGCTATACGGATATTGTAGTTCATTCAACATGGATGCCAAAAAGAAATTAAAAGAACAAATCTGGCAGAACGCTCACACAGACAACCACCCGACCATACCCTACCATTACACAAGATATGAACTTGCGATAGAATATCGCTTCCTATAGGCGGCATACCCCATTAGGGCTTGGAATGGAATATCTTAAAAAGCAATTATCCTGCCACCAATGCTTGTAAGTATGCATGTATGTGTTTTCGCTCAAAATAACGAGAATTGAGGGATGGAAATTAATTGGGTTCTTCGAGATCATTCGCTGAAAATGATCTAATAATCTGAAATACTTATATCTATAAAACAAAATGTTTGAAGGTATGTTATTATGTTTGTATGTCATTCCGGAGTTTACCGTGATGAAAGTATACCATTATGTTTTCAGATATTTGAAGGGGTGGTACCTTCCACGCACCCCAACTTTATAAAGCGCATTATTCTTCAAAGTTATAAAAGTATCGATTCAAGAATTTGTAACTTACGTATTCTCTCGTATACAGGGTGAGATACAAAACTGCATCAAAGTCAATCGCCAGTATTCTTACATTTCTTTAAATATTTATTGAGTGAGAGAAAGTAATGTCGGAAATAGCATCAAATTTTAGAATAATTCTAGATTTGTTCGAATTGGTCACCTTTGCACGATTTATGGCCTTCAAACGACCAATGAAACCGTCACACGCTGCCCGAATGTTGCTCTGCGGTATTTTGGTCCATTGGTCTATATTTCTTCCCTGTCCTTAACTATCATCTCGTGTAAAATTCCATGTCGATTGGCTTGGAAGATGCCCCTCTGTATCTCCAAATTTAGACTTGTCTGCGATATTTGGCTATATTCGTCAACGAAATCATCATAAAAAGCCAGATATTCGCTATTTGTGTGTTTTGGATTTCGCCTGTAAGTTATTTTCAGCGTTTCGGTAGAATGGATTTTTTTTGTATTTTTTCGCACAAAAGTAGTGGTCCATTTTACTCCTAGTCCTAAACTCTAACTTCATGCGAGATTTCGTGTCCTTTGGTTTCTATTTTATAACGGCTACAAATAAGGAACATTTTTAGTTGATAGTCCATTTAAACGCCTCAATATATTGCGGAAATTTTTAAAAACAATAGGCCTAGCCATTCTGAGCCTACCCCTACCCTTATGAAAATTTTCGTGAGGGTCGGACGAAAGTTGCAATCTCTATATAATAACCCCAAACAGTGTCTTTTGTGTCTCGTACCATCGCTCGTTACCATGATACTGGTAGCCTAGCCCGACGTCAAGGAAGTGGACGGAAGAAAACAGCAACATCAGCAGAAATGGTTCGAAAAGTAAAGAAGCGACTTGACCCGCGTCGCAGAGGGCGAGAAATCGCTCGTGAGCTGAACATATCGCAATATTCCATTCGGCAAATATTGAAAATTGAGCTCGTGGCAAAGCCATTGAAATTCCAAAAAGTGCAGGAACTTACACCGCAATGTAAAGAAAATAGACTAAAAAAGGGGGAAAGAGTTGCTTTGCTTCGCCGAAAGTGGCGAATTTGGTTTCCTCCGATGAGAAAACATTCGTTGTCCAGCAGCTTGTAAACAAACAAAAAGATTGCGTTTACTTACAACAGCCGATGATAGCTCTCCGCTCGTATCAATCGACAGTGGCATCAGAATAAATGCCGAATATAATCGCGAAAACATTCTTGAGGGTGTATTAAAGCCTTGGGCACGCAAACATTTTGGCCGCAGACTTGGACATTCCAACAGGACTCACTCAGCACGCGCCACCCATTAATGGTTACAAAAGGAGGTTCCTCGCTCCATTTCCAGCGCACAATGGCCCCCAAAATCTCCGGATACCAATCCGTTGGACTATTGTGTATTATGGAAAGCAAGGTTGGCATTTAAAAATATCAAATTGTCGATCACCCCAAGCAAGCGCTTCGCCTGGAATGGGCCAAAATAACGCAGAACAACAAATGTAAAAATTATGGCTATTGACTTTGTTGCAGTAAGACAGGTAAATTGTTAAAATAGAATAGACCTCCTTGTGGTGTAGGGTATAAACAGTAAAGAAAGTCTTAAAGGCGGGCGGGGCCGACATACAATTAAAAGTTTTTATGGGAGAATTAAATCATACACGCTACGATTATAATTATAATTTAAAGTTCAAAGGACTAAATATGCCGAAGCATTTGTATCTTTTAAATTCATACTTGTATTGCCCATTTGCGGCACAATTAATTTGAAATCGGATAAAAATATATATGGGAGCTATATCCAAATCGGAACCGATCTCGATAAAATTTGGCAAACATATTTCTGAGCTGTATTTGATATATTTCCCTGAATATCGTTGTTACGGAGTGCATATTACGGCTGTGGGTAACAAATATGACAAATCGGATGAACAGTATTTATGGGAGCTATAGCTATATCTGAACCGATCTTCACCAAATTTGACGTTCTAGCTTCTAGACTCTATTCGGTTGTAAGTACCAAATTTAATCCAATTTGGGCAAATATAAGATGTTTGGTGCACAATCAAAGGTAAATCGGGCGAAGTTATACATCGGAGCTATATCCAAATCTGAACCGATCGCCATAAAATTTAGCAAAGTTATTTCTGAGCTGTATTTGATATATTTCACCAAGTATTGTTGTTAAAGAGTGCATATTACGGCTGCGAAGGACAAAAATAACAAATCGGATGAACACTATATATGGGAGCTATAGCTATATCTGAACCGATTTTGATCAAATTTGGCATACTTATACAGGTCCAATCTGATCGTACGTGCAAAATTCCATAATATTCGGACAATAGTATGCACAATAAAAGGTAAATCGGACGAAGACATATATGGCAGCTATACCTAAATTTTGGCCGAATATCTCCAATTTCAATAGGGTTCGTCCTTGGGTCAAATGATTTGTGCAAAATTTCATCTGGATAAGGCAATAAATGCGAACTGTACTTTGTTTACAAAAATACATGGACAGGCGGATGGACAGACGGACGGACTCAGAATGTGATTCTATGCAGACCATCAAAAGGAACTATGGGCCTATCTCGTTTCCTTTTGCCTGTTACAAACAAATGCACAAAGACATAATACCCTGACCACCTTGTGGTGTAGGGTATAAATATGTAATAAATATTTTTTTACCAATATAAACAACTCATGTAAACAATGAATCCTTGAAATGTCCATGAATTCTATTTACAATAAAATTTTAACAAAATACAAAAAAATCGTACCACTTTCCATTCACCTACAACCAAATTCATTGGACCATCCTCGTTACGACTACGTTGTCGATGGCACATGCAGGAGTTCGTCTCATACCAGTTGCAAACTAAAACCCACAATGTACGCACACAAAAATTTCGGCAAAAGTTAAACATTTCTAGTTGAAACGATACATATGCATGCGGGTATTTATGTGTGCGTGTATGTATGTGTGTGGAGAATGCAAAAGGATAATGTTAGTAATTCAATAAAATTCGCGCGGAGCCCTACACACACACGTAGTCACCACGAGTGGCGGTTACCATATGGCATATGCACTGCGGATGTGGGTGGAGGTTGTGTCTGCGTAAAAAGCTTTTTTCGATATATTTTGTGGCTTTGAAATTCACTTAGCCTCCATTTAAGAGCAACGCGCTCCACGCTTTGTTTTGTTCTTGCTTTTCGCACAGCAAATTGTTGTTGTGCTTGTTGTTCTAAACAATTTAACAGTTGATTTACGGGGTTACATCAGGTGTGGAGATGTCTATTTATTAGTTCCGCAGAGCAAAGAACAACGCACACACATCGAGAAGTTCGCAATTATGCGGACAGGTAAGAATGTGGGGATATGTGAAACATTACCTCAGCAACATGAACTGAGAGGGTTTTGATTTTTGCAATTATTTTTCACTTATTGGGCTACATTACAAAAATATGCACAATGTTGTGGTCTGTCCATAAAGAAAAATGTTTCTGGTTCTATATATAGACAAAGCATAGGAATCAATTTTGACATTTTGATGTATCTCGCACAAGAATTTCAAAATGTATTCAAGAAAATTTGTAATTAATAATTAAAAACCAAATTGTTTCAAAATCTTTACGGAATTTCTATTTTTGTATTTCCAAGTTTAAATCCTTAATTATATCAGAATTAAATAGACAATTTATTAAGGTAGATGTGGTTTTTCTCATAAGACCTACCCAGGGCGATCCTGAATTAGCTATTGTCAGCTTGTATCATCAGCTATACAAATTAAAACTAAAGTAATATTTGAACCAGTAAAGAAAGGCCATGATACCATACACCATATAAACCCATTTTTACCAAATTTATTATTTCTTCCAGACTAAGCTCGTTTGTATGCTCTACAAACCACTCAATTCGGGTTTATATTAACTATTTGGTGCACAATATACTTGAAATCTCGATAAAATTTGGCCAAAGTATTTGTGAGATATATTTGATATGTTTCTCCGAGTATCTTTGGTATGGAGTGTATATTACGGCTGTGAAGAGAAATTTAACAAATCGGATGAACAATATATTTGGGAGCTATAGATATATCTGATATATGTCATCTTAGCACCAGATTTTGTGTTAGCTAAGAGATTGGGGTGTGTGTACAATTTGAAGAGAATCGGATGCTTATTTCCCATTTTTTTAAGTGATAATTATACAAAATTCTGATCATTTGTAAGGAGCTGCCAGAAGGACTGGTCCGATATCTTTCACATTCACACCACACCTTGTGCTGATAGGAATATTGGAGTGTGCCGAGTTCGAAAGCACTTTATGAGCTTCATTGTTGTTCAAAATGTTGACCCTTTTTGGGGGAGGTACCAGAAGGAGTGGTTATTAGAAAAATGTAAGAAGTTCCAAAAGAATCCGATGCTTATTTAGATTTTTATGAGAGTTTGGTTATTCAAAATGTTGATTCCTTTTTTGGGGAGGTACCATAAGAAGTGGGCCGTTCTATCTAGGTGTTGTGTTGGAGGAATTATTGCTGATATAAATATTACAACGTGCCAGAATTGGACATATCGACTACTTCCTAAGCTTCATAAGAGATATGTACACATTTTTTGCAAAAATATTGCAAAATCTGAAGGAAATCGAACATTTAAATAAATTACATATTCAACTCAGATGCCTGGTTAAGAGAAATATTTAAATATAGCGAGTTGTAAAGAATCGCCGACTTGCCCGCAGTTGAATTTGTGTAGAATTTTATGGGGGTATTCGACGATTGTTATACGGAAGTGGGATTTACAAAATCAAGATTAAACCCCCTGTGGTAGCAAAAATGTGACTCATAAATGCTTAATGCCTCTGGGCAGAATCAGTTTCCGCCAATTTGAAGTCTGTTTGGGAAATTGGTCCAATTTGTCTGAAACCTCCCTCCCAAAATGGTAAAATATAAAAAAATACAAAAATTGAATTCAGCGAAGGCAGTATCCGACATAGTGCAAACCTGATTCGTCGACTTAGCGACGAAGGTGCGAGATAGGACTGTTTTTTTTTTTTTGAAAATTCGTACTAAAATATGAAAAATACAAAAAAAAGTAATATTTTGAGACCATTGTTTTTGGAGCCATTAGGAGATGCTATGAGGTAGGTTTGTCTGTGATGGACAAAATGGTGTACGTTAAGTCATGTTGGTAATTCGTACTAGAAGGGTAAAATTACTAAATATTTTAAAACTCTTTAAATATGCATGCCTGTATAACCAAAAACTTGTTCGGAAAGACGTTTTGAAAAAAATTCTCGAAATGTACTAAAATATAACTAATATCTCTAAATGTTTGAAAATTGCTACCAAGGGACACAAAAATTATAAAGATGTACTAAATAATATACTATTTGTATTAATGTTATTTCTGAAAGGGAAAGAGATATTGGCGCATTTTACATATGGCTACAGAGGGTATATATCATTTGATACGGTCAAAACGTGCCTAGTCGAAATAACGGTTTTAGACCCTAGATCTCTTTGGATCAAATCCGTTTCAGAACATTTGGAGTCGATCTAGCGATGTCCGTCAGTCTGTCTCTCTGGCTGGTGCGCACGATAACTCTCGAAGGGAGTATCCGATTTGGTTCAATCTTGATACATCGTAATATTTTTGTCAAACTTAGATCGAGTTCGGAGGTGGGCAATATCGGTCCACTCCTTCTGGTACCACAAAAGTTCGAAATTTTCAAAGAATATATTTTCTGCACAGAAAGAGAAAGGATGATTCAAATTTGCCCAAATTTGGAAATTCTTATATTTGCAACAGTGCAAGGTCAAGTTCGAAAATGGGCAATATTTTAAGAGTTGTAATTATTCAAAATTCTGGCCTTTTGTGGGGAGGTACTTGATGGAGTGCACCGCATCACCCCCATAAAAGGCCAAAATTTTGAATAATTACAACTCTTAAAAAAATATGAAGTAACAGCCCGATTGTCTTCAAATTTCACACATCCCAATATTTTTACTATCCCAAGACCTGGTGTTAAGATGGAATATATCGGTCCACTCCTTCTGGTACCTCCTCCACAAAAGGTCGAAATTTTCAAAAAATGTATTTTTTGCACAGAAAGAGAAAGGATGATCTGAGTTTACTCGAACTTTGCGAATCCTAATATTTGCGTCAGTACTAGGTCAAGTGTGAAAATGGACAATATCGGTCTACTCCATCAAGTGCCTCCCCCACAAAGGGTAAAAATTTTGAATAATTACAACTCTTATAAAATGTGATGTAAGAGTCCGATTGCCTTCAAAGTTCACATATCCTAATATTTTTACTAACCCAATGTCTGGTGTTAACATGGAATATATCGGTCTACTCCTTCTGGTACCTCCCCCACAAAATGTCGAAGTTTTGAATACCCATGTAGCTCATAAAACGCAAATTAGCATCCGATTCTATTTAGACTTGGCACATCTGAATATTTCTATCAACACAAGATCTGTTACAAAGATGGTATAGATCGAACCATTTCTTCTGGTACCTCCCCCATACATAGGGTTCGTGATTTTGAAAAACAAAACGCTCAAATAAAGCGAAATAAGCATCCAACTCTCTGCAAATTTCACACATACAAAAATTTTTGTTAACACCAGATCTGTTGTGAAGTTGATATATATCTGCGAACCCTTTTCTGGCACATCACCCACAAAGGGACACAATTTTCAATGAATTTATCTGTCATAACTTTCCAAACAATTTAGCAATTCTTTACTTCTTGCTATGCCCAAATATTTCTCTCAATAAGAAGCCTGATATGAATATGGACTTTATGATTTCGTATAAAATTGGACATAAATATCTTTTCTTTTTATTTTGCCCAATATTTCGCTCAATATTTTTTATTAGCATTAAATAAAGTATAAAAATGGAATATTTCGGTAGACTCTAACTGGTACAACACTCACATTTTAAAAATTTCTAAAAAATTATTACATATCTCATATAAAGCGAAGGAGTAAGTCCATATAATCCATACCAGGAATGTCGCAATATTTATATCATATTTTTGGGTCCTATACGAAGTGGACAGTATTGGCCAATTCCATCGAAACCTGCTCCATAGAGGGTCAAACGTTTGAATAATCGTAGCACTAGCCAAAGTATATTTAAATAATAGGACATAGGCTGAGGGTATATATATCTGTCGGAAATGCCGACTGATACTTTTTTACTTGTCTAAGAATAATTTTACCATTTTTTACTAACATTGAAGTTGTGTTGTATAAAGGGGTCGTTGTGGAAATGCGAGCAATATGTGTAGGAAAGGTATTAAATGGTACTAGATTTGGTATAAGTTAATGATAATTTTGTTTAAGTCCAAGGTAGCCAAAATTGTGAATATTGGTATGGGGATCACTGAGTGAGGAGCGTTTAGCTTTCAGGTAATGCGATTTATTTAAAAAAGTACTAAATGGTACCAACATTAATATTTAATGTCTAAAAACAGCTAGCATCGTAAATATTGGTATTATGATCACTTTGAGTATGAAGCTTCTATGTCAGGAGATGGATTCAGGAAGGCGTACGAAATGTACTAAATTTCAGATAGGGGATAAGAATGAAGCTCAAATTATCAATTTTGGTAAAGAATCACATTGAGGGAGTAGCGTTTCAACAAGAAAGTGGATTTGAAAATCCACAGGTACGACAGTTACTAAATGATAGATAATTTGGGGTATAATAAAGGCAAGACGATTGGATTGTGAATTTTGGGTTACGTGTCCTTGTTCGTAGGTAGATGTAAAAACGCGGTGTTTTTGGAAATACCGGAATTCGAAAATTCTTTATAAGATAGTGGGGTGGAAATATATGTATCTTGAATTCTGAAGTAGAATATATCCAACATTTAATACCAAAGATGTTGGGAGTGCAGGTACAACCAGATTTTTACAATTTGCTTTGCTAAACAATGATTCTCGTTACTCCATATCGAAATAACGAAATATTCAAAATTGTTAATAATCAAAACTTAGGTACTTTTAGTAAGCTTTGGTACCACCATTTTATTCTCCTTTACTTCCCTTGTTGTTCTCTTGTTTATAGATTTTCTTGGCTTTTAAGCACTTGTATATTTTTATTTATTTAAAATCTTTAAATAGATATTTTTAGAAATATATATCAAGAGGGAAACGTGTTGCTATTACTAAGGGCGCCTGATCTCGAAATCAGCGGTATTATCAAAACGAGTATGCCCGCCACTTGAAAAATTTACAGTTGGCCGGTAGAAGCCATAAACTAATTATGCCAATGGACGATTGACTGGTGGTGATAGTGAATGAGTGAGGGATGCTGCCATCAAACGTGTTGACTTCTTTTGCTTGGGGGGCATAACTGCTTCGGTGACTCTGGCTGTATGTCGATGACATTCTGTTTCTGCTATTGGCCAAGCAAACAGACCAAAACCAACAGCTAAATTGTTGAGTGTCATTGCCAAATGAAGAACTGGTAATCGAAATAGAAGATATCTCTCCATCAGCATGTACTTGAATACCACCAGCCTATGCTGCGATTGAGAAATGTTTTGCCTTGGGGGAAAATAGCGAAATTAAAGAATACTTTCTAATTATTCAAGTGCGGTAGGGTATAGCCAACAATTGTTTGAACAATCATGATTCTCTGCAAAAAGCTTCCAAGAATTAATAATTTAATGGAAGAAAGTTTTTTCTTTTTTGCTTAAATGAAAAATTTTTGCATATCATTTCCCTTTGTGACGCCCAAAAAGAAGCCAAGATACCAACAGTGACCAGCAGCAGTACCCGACCGCTTTTGAGAAGCGTATAAAAGCTATGGTTGTATCTTGATTTGACATTAAATCACATTTACAGTTCCTGGTAATAACGTCGGAGAAAGGCAAGGTGGTTGTCGAATAGGAAATATGGTTTCCCATAAATTATTTGGAATTTTACTCATTGCCTCGTCTCTATTGGCCTGTGTCAGTGCTGGTAGGTTTCTGAAATAATTTATTTTGCAATATTTGCTATAAAAATATATTTTGTGTTTTATTAAAGCCTCAACTAAGAGACCTGTGGTAAATAAACGTCTGGCTGGAATCTATGTCAAGGATAATAAGAATGGCGAATTACGTTTTCTAGCCTCAAATAGTCAAATTAATGAGGCCATCAATCAGAAACAGGAATTCTTGGAACAGCTGAGGCCCACAACCACTGGAACCGGTAACGGTGTTACCCCAATTATTATCAACACTGCAACGGCCACAGCTACAGCTACTGGCACTGCCACGGGCACTGGCACACTCACCACAGGAACAGGTACTGGAACTGGCACTTTAACTACCACCGGTGCAACTGGTGGTGGTGGTGGTGCGGGTGTTGTCGGCCCATCACCAATTGGTGATCTTTTGCCACAAATTGTTGCTCAGGCTGCCCTGCAAAGACGTCGTCCTGGAAATAACCGCCGTCGTGTTGTTAATAAGCGCCGCCGTGGTGGAAACAATCGTCGTCGTGGTAACAGACGTGGCAACAACAGGAACAAGAACAGACCTCAAGTTTTTGTGGTCAGACCCCGTAACTAGAAGCAATGGATGATGATGTGTGGAATGTGAAATTAAATTAATAAAAAACAAATCTAATAAAAAATATGTGCCACTTTTGATTTTTTTTTTTGGGGATTTTGAAACTGATTAAAAATAACCTCAAAATCATATTGAGAACGAGATCGTAGCGATCATAGCGATACACGTAAGAAGTGAACAGTTTGAAAAGAGAAAATTCAGCTAGACTAAATAATAATCACAGAGAAATCTAAAAATACGATCGACCGGAACTTTGTTTGCACGAAAAGTATTAAAAGTTACAAATTTGGTAACATGATGTTTTCAACGGATACAGCTAAAATCTTGAAATTAGAATCAAAGTGACATTATAGAAATAAAAGTTGGGAAATATGCCTGATCGAAGGAGGTAATTTTGGAAACGTGTACTTAAGTGTAAGTGTTTGTATAGATGTTTACTAAGTTTGCATAGAGTGCAGGAAGTGGAATCGAAAAATAGATTTTGGTATTTACATCACTGTGAGTGTGTAATTCAAAGGTAAGGTGGTGGATATGGAAATCCGGACTTTATAGTGTGATCACTGTGAAAATACGGCGTTGGAAATGCTATAACCCATACGAAAATGATAAAATTGTACGAAATTTGGTATAGAGAAAGTAATCTAAAATTATGAGTTTGCACATACAAAACACTGTGGGCTTGTAGATGCATACTGTTAAGAGGACGAAAAATGTAAAATTTGGTACCGAGTATAGGATGGTATATGATTCCATCAAAAGTGTAAAGGGTTGAGACCAAATGTATCCAATATCCTCCTCTTCAATTATTGCGGATTTTTACGAAGTGTAAGATAAATACCAAATTTGTTACCGAGTATTAGGATGCCTGTCAATGTGTAGCTTCTAGTTAAGAAGGTTTATTTAAATTATGGAGAATATGGTGTACTAAATAGTACTAAAGTTATTATAATAATAATAATTGTCAATATTGCAATTAGGATCAAGGTGGTGGACTTAGAAATGCGTACAATATGTGTTCGAAAAGTACCAAATTGCGGATAAGAATGGAGTTTGAATTATCAATTTTTGTAAAGAATCACATTGAGGAAGTAGAGTTTCAATAAGAAGGTGAATTTGAAAATACTAAAGTACGTACGAAAATTACTAAATGGTACTTAATTTGAGGTATTCGATTGTGCATGCGGATCATTATGGGTGAGTAGGATGTAAAAAAGCTGTGTTTTTGGAAAAACCCTAATTCTGAAATTCATTATGATTATCACTGCGAGCACTTGGGATGGATTTGAACAATTTTAATATTTTTAACGCAGTAAATAATATTTGTCACTACTGTCCTCAAGAACTCAAAAAAAAAAAAAAAAAACAAGTTAAAAAAAATAAAAGGCTATACCAAAACGTGGAAATATTCATGCAATATTTCGCCACCGGAGCTACTACCCATGATCAGAAAAAATGTGGCAAAAATCATCGGGAGGTACCGTTATATGGGGGCTATGCACACAATGTTTCGCAATACGAAGTAGAACCTATTATGACCTACAAATACCAATTTTTAGTCAAATCCGTGAAAAGATGTGGAAAAATCTTCAAAATTCCGAATATCGGGAGGTACCGTTATATGGGGACTATACAAAAACGTGGACCGATATATCTCATTTTCAATACCAACCATCCTAGACACAACACAAATTGTTCTGCTAAATTTAATTTCTAGGTCAAATCGTGTCTTTTACAGACGGATATCTTTAAATCGGCTTAGAATTTTATGCTCATTACAAATATAAATACTTTATGGAGAATGATAAAGTTAATATACCCTCATTTCCAAATTCTCTCTTCTGAACTTTATAATATGCCCATATTTGAACGTGTATATATTAAGTCAATTTTCTGCAATGGGATATACAGGGTGAGACGAAAAAAACTGTAATCAACTTCAGACTGCTCTCATTTCTAAGCCACTCGTCCGACAGCTATTAAATTTATTCCAGTGACAGCTCATTATATTTTTTACAAGCGTACAAAAGAATTTTGTTGAGAATTTTCCAGAAAAAAAGTTATTCGTGATGGAATTCAAGCGTGATAGTGTGATTTCTTTATATTTGGCTGGAAACCACATGAGATTATCGTTAGAACACTCCAGCATTTAAATGTGAATAAATCTCTTGTGTCTCGTACCATCGCTCGTTACCGGAAAAGAAGTGGACGGAAGAAAACAGCAGAAATGCTTCGAAAAGTAAAGAAGGATCTTAATCGAAACCCGCGTCTCAATGGCCGAAAAGTGGCTCGTGAGAAAATATTGATAAATGTGCAAGAACTTACACCGCAACAGATAGAAAATAGACTCAAAAGATCTCAAGAGAGACTTTGCTTGGCCGAAAGTGGTGAACTGGTTTTCTCCGATGAGAAAACATTCGTTGTCCAGTGGTTTGTAAACAAACAAAATGATTGTGTTGACTTCCCAAAAAGGTCAGCTGAAACTGTGCACCTTTGGTTGGCCACCAGAAGAACTCAAGCGCCGGCCATGGTGATGGTGTGGGCCGCCATAACAGCCGATGGTCGCTGTACACTCGTATTAATCGAATATTATCGCGAAAATATTCTGGAGGGTGTATTGAAGCCTTGGGCGCAAACATTTTGGCCGCAGACCTTGGGCATTCCAACAGGACTCAGCACCATCGCACTCAGCACTCGCCACCCTAGAATGGTTGCAAAATGAGGTTCCTCGCTTCATTTCCAGCGCACAATGGCCACCAAAATCTTCGGATACCAATCCGTTGGACTATTGTGTTTGGAGTAATTTGAAAAGCAAGGTTGGTACTAAAAAATACCAAAGTTTCGATCACCTCAAGCAAGCGCTTCGCCCGGAATGGGCCCAAATGCCGCAGAGCAACATTCGGACAGCGTGTGACGGTTTCATTGGCTGTTTGAAGGTCATAATTCGTGCCAAAGGTGACCAATTCGAACAAATCTAAACTTATTTTAAAATTTTATGCTATTTCCGACATTTTTTGCTTTCATTCAATAAAATTAAAAAAAAAGTAAAAATTATGGCGTTTGACTTTGTTGCAGTTTTTTTATCTCACCTTGTATATGATAGTTACATCTTAATTAAAAATTATATACATTTGGAAAAAAATAGACTTTTGCCGAATTTTATTGTGATGCCGTCAATATTACGGATTTGGGAAGGAGTACCTGCAAATCTTTCGAAATAATTTTGAGAGATGAAGATTTTCAGTAAATTTGGCACATAAAGGTCAAATATTGTCTTAAACACAAAAATATATACTGTTCGTTGTAATATTATGGATGTGGTACACAATATATCACGAAATCGGTACACAGTGTTTTTGTGAAATCGGACAGAAATATATTTGGGAGCTGCAGAAGTGAACCGATTTTAACTTAATTTTACAAAACGTCATTGATTTGGTGATCACATCCTATCTTATTTTAAGAAGACTTCAAAATCAAGTCTGGTGGACACTCGCATTTAAACGGTTTTTATCAAATTTAGTCGAAATCCGCGCCTATTAAGCGTTGGGTGCCTAACAAATTTGAATTTAGATGATTTTATATGGCTGCTTTACCCAAATCTAAGCCGATTATAACAATGTTTAATGGGGTTCGTTCTTGGGCGAAAAAATAAGTTTTGCACAACTTCGTCTCAATTGGACCATAACTAAAACCTGCTTTTCGTTTACAAAAACAATCACTCGGTGATCCATAAATCGACCCCGAATATGATTCTATGAAGATCGTCTAAAGTAAGTATGGGTTTATTTTGCTTGTTACAAATACATAAATCTCTCCTTGTTCGATTTCAGTACAATTAAGTTCTAGTGAAAGTACATTAAAACTTAAAATCGATATTTAAACATGAATCATGAAGATATAGCCCTGATGTAATTCTAATAATTATGGTATTTAAAAGGAACTATTTAATTAATCAGGTGTCCGATTGTCATGTTATTATAGAACGATATCAGAATCTTTGAATATTTCCATTTGGTTAATTTTCCTCAATTTCCCCCATGAAATTGAAATAGCAATTTAACATTGCTGCACTTGTCCTCCTGGTTCTGGTATTTTCTTCTCTAATTTACAAAGCAAACTGTTGAACAGTTGTTTTGGATTCCTTCATTTGTTTCGTTTTTAATAAAATCTCAGAAAAATTAGATTAAAACGATACAATGCAAAAAACAGAGACGACACAGAGAGAAAAACCTCCAGTTCACTCAGTTGGACAAAAGGACACAATGAAGCGAATGAGACAAAGAACGGAATGGAAAAAAAATATATACGGGGAACAAAAAAACGGAGGAAATTGTTCATCTTCCTTTATTGTTTGTTGCTATACCTTTGAGATAGGGAACAGCGGGAACAGGAGTATATTCCATTCCATTCGTTACCTCCTCTTGCACCAAGGCCAAAATGGTCATGTAAAATTTACATGGCTAAGAACGTTGTGCGATTGCAAATATGGTCAAATGCCATCCATACACGTCCTTTTACATGGTCTGCCTTCTTTTCATTTTGTCCACTAAGACTGTTTGTGTGCTTATGTGTGTGTGTGTGTGAATGTTGGGAGCTGATGGCCCCTTTTGTTTTGTAATGATTTGATTTGAAATTCATTTGAATTATTGGTTGCTTCCGGTTTCCGGTGCTTTCATGAACTTTCTTTGGCCATTAAAGTTGGAAACGATTCAACGAGCATAAATGTTGAAGTCGTACCACCGAGCCATGCACACAAACATGTACATGTTGACTCTCTCTCTCTCCCTGTCTCTCTTTCTGTGGTGTGTATATGTATGTCATTGCACATTTCCTCTCAATGGACTTGCTAGATACTTTTTGGTGCGCCGTGGATTAGTAACCCAGCAAACTTTTTAGTTTAATAGTCGTTTTTCAATATATTGGAAATAATTTTATGTGAAGTATCAGAAGGTGTGGATGTCGGTCCATCCCATCTTCACAGCAGATCTAGTGTTAGTGGA